AAACGACTCCCGATTATTCTTTGTTTATCTATTAGAATGGAGAGTCTCGTTTACATGTTCTTGTGTATGTTGACAATCTCATCATCACTGGCAGCTCTCCTTGTCTCATCACTGATTTCTAGAATTATCTTAGTGAGTGTTTTCACATGAAAGGCCTTGGCATGTTGAAGTATTTTCTCGGTATTGAATTTTTCGGACTGCTTCAGGTATCTAGTTGTGTCAAAGGAAATACATCCTCGACATCATTTCTGAAATGGGTCTTCTCGATGCACACCTTGTAGTGTTTCCTATTGAACATAACCATCAGTTATCTCTTGCTTCTAATGATCTTCTCGATGATCTAGCTCCTTATTGACACGTCTTGTTGGCTGCTTGGTTTATCTAGGTACTACTCGACCAGAACTCTCTTACTCAATTCACATTCTTTCAAAGTTTATGAAATCTCTACGACAAACTCACTGGTATGCTGCGATACTGATATACGCTCCAAGGGACACACGTACGCACGAACTAGGGTCGATCGAGTTGGCCTTCGCTCTCTCTCGATATAACCGCAAACAAGACGAAACTCAATGGAACAAGAAAGCTTGGGGGAAGCAAGGGGGTTCGATCAACTAAGTAACAAGCTCACACGGGTTGATTCAAGGGGAAACCACTCAAGAACACTCGCGTAAGAATTCTCAACTCGCAAACGGCGCAAGAGAAGAAAATGCAACTTTATTGATCTAGGTTAAAAAACGTGACTACAAGGCTGCGAATGGGACTTTATTAATAGTCCTTCAGCCATGACCTTCGAGGGTCGAGATTCAATCTCAAATAAATGAACGGTTACAAATACATAAAGAAAACAACCAAAAAGGAAACTTGTGTCATTCGCACAAGTGAACCTTCTCCACAAGTCGGAGGCTTAGGTTCGACTCTCTAGGACTTAGACTCTATGAAATAAAACGCAAATTGTTCGGTTGATAGGTCCTGCAAAACACTTAAGAGAAAATGGAAACAATGAAAACCGAACTTACCTTATTCGACGAAATGAGAGGCCACGTAGTTGTCTCTGGTTCTCCTTCTTCTTCTTCACCTTGGTTCTTGTTTTCTAGACAGTTTTTAACTTCGTACGAGCCTATACGGCCTTGTCCTCCATTCTCGGTGTTACGGGCTTCGGACGTGCCGTTACGACGGTAGTATTGCTCCTCTCGATCATCTCCCAATCCGTCTCGGTCGTGGGCATTTCGGCTTCGATCGTTGTCTCCAGAAACATCACTTATCGAGTGATTATCGAAGCCCAAGCTGTTTGGATCAACTTGGTTCGAGACTTCGCTCCGTACAAGCTTTCCGGCGTCCGGGGGTGGTACTTGTCGAGCTTCTTCATGTTCTGCGGGTTGTTTCTCCAAACGCTCTCGATCAAAGCTTTTAAAATCAGCACTTTGTTGATGAATCTCGAATCCCTTGATGTTTGGTGGTGGGTCGTCCGGGTCGATCGTTCGGGCGTTCGTGTCGTCGATGCCGGGTGACGATGCTCGATCGACTCGTGCTTCTAGGGGGTTTCCTGCAAAACCGGCTCGATCGTTAGTCCTAAAATATGGACTTGGTCGATGAAACTTACCTCGGTTGGTCTGTTCTCCATCGTTGGGTCGATGGAACTTGTTGAAGCTTCCACTCGCGTCCGGAGGTCGAGGGTCGGCCGATAGAATATCCGTTTGGCCGGTTGCGTTGATCAGGGCCTCAACTCCTTCATTGAATTTTTCTCTTAGCTTCCTCGTCCGTGAACGGGTCATTGGTCCAGCTATGACCGTCGGAATTGTTGGTGTCGGGTCACTCGTTACCGGGTCGTGGCCGTCCGTCGAGCACTCGTCGATGTCCGGTCCTATGTCCTCATCAGATACGAGTTGTCTTAAGAATATTCCTGGTCAAGGAATCCTTCTTTATGTTGGCAACCCTCTCACTTTAACGGCATGGTGTGACGTTGATGACTCAGGTTTTCCGATCATTCATCGTTCTCTAACCGGCTGGTTTATTCTGCTTGGTGATTCTCCCATTTCTTGGAAAACAAAGAAACATGACACCGTTTCTTTATCCTCTGCTGAATCCCAATATTGTGCTATGCAACTCACAGTAAAAGAGATTATGTGGTTGTGCTATCTTTTCAACTCGTTTGGTGTCTCCACTCCTGATCATGTTCCATTATATTGCTACAATATGGCGGCCATTTACATAAGCAACAATCCGATCTTCCATGAGCGTACTAAACATATCGAAAACGATTGCATTTCGTTCGTCAAGCCATTGTTAGAGGCCTCATCACGACCAAACATGTTGGTACAAAAGAATAGTTGGCCAATATCATGACTAAGGCCTGGGCAAACAGGAATTTGATGATTTTATTTACAAGTTGAGCCTTTATGACCTCCCGGCAACTTGAGGGGGGATGTTAGAACATGGAAAAATATAATATCTTGATATATCATTGTATATTCTTGTATTTACTCTATCAAAGTACCATATTTGATTAGGTCTAGTGTCTTGTATATATGTTGACAAGCCGTTTTGTCATATGAAATACACAGAAACCTTCGATACACTTTAAGGTTTGTGACAAAAAAGACACCATATATTCTTAAAACTAAAATGGATAATAAACTCTCCTTTCTATATAACCTGAATCTGATCTGAAGTCGGGATGTTCAAACCTAAAGGGTGTATTCAAAGTTAAATTTAAAGTGATATGAGTTTTCTTGAGGTTTTAAATGATTTTGATAATTGTATGGAAGTTCATATGATTTTTTTGTGAAATCCATTCAAATGTCACATAAAACCACGAGATTTGGATTTGTGTATTTTAAACTAAGGGAATCCTCTCAAAACCTTCAAAAAAACAAATCCACATATTGTTTTCAATAATAAGAGATTTTAAGGTGGATTTTGAAATCATTAATTCAATAACACTGGGTTTCTTGAGACTTTTCAAAATTCGACACAAATCTCTTTTTTCTTTTTTTTTGTTAACCACACATTTATTAAAATATTACTTAAGCATGTCAATTAGGGCTAAAGCCCGCGGCTAGTCTGGCCCGTCCCTAAAAAACATCGGGCTCAGGCTTAAATATATATGTCCAGAAAAACGGGCCTTTTGGGCTAAGCCCATTCGGGCTAAAGGGTTTTCTGGGCTTAACCCGGTCGGGCTCGGGCTGGCCCAAAAACCCTTAAATAAATATATTTTTATTTTTGTAAATATTGTAGTTTGAATAGAAGATTTGATTAATGAATTAATTTTTCAGATTTACTTACTAGCCTTACTTAATACTTTTAAAATCATTATCTATCATATTTTCTATTATTTATATATGTCAAAACTGAACAAAGCTAAAATTATATTTAGATTTTGACTCTATCATCTACTTTAAAGTATTTTAGTTCCATGTTTTGTTGGGTTACAGTGTAAATAATTTATTTAGTTTTCATTTTTTCTCTTAAATTAAGTTAGTTTTAATGAATATTGATAAGTTATTTAAATTTTGATACATTATTTTTATAGTATACTTTTAAATATTGTTTTCTAAAACTATTATGAACTTAGAAGTTGATTATTTATCGTTAGCTAAATCCCAAAAAAGCCCGAAAAGCCTTGTAACTCTGTTAGGGCCGGGCCGGGCTTTAAAATATAGGCCCGGATATTTTTCGGGCCGGCTCGGGCTAACCCGATTGACATGCCTAATATTACTCCATGATTGGTAGCCCAAACTTAAGAAAAATTGTTTATAAATTTGACCCAAATCTCTTAAAATTTCACTTCGAATACATCCCACCTGCTCTCCTTGTTTAATCTCTATTTTGCGAATAACGTGATTTCATATAATGCTATTTGTTTTTGACATGCACTATTATCTATTTGAGCACCTTGAAATCAGTTATTCCGACATAACAAATTTTAAAAATAGCAAAAGTTCTAAGGAGATATAGAAAGGTGGTTTCGGCGGATTCATGGCCCATTGAAAGAAACATAGATTCCTGGTTTTGTAAAGTTTTGGTTACAAACTATTTTCATCAGAGACCTCACGGTGACAATTATTGGTGAGACAGATTAGATAGGTCGAGAATGACTACACGATTTTATGTTTAAAATGTGCCTACACAACAATCATTCCTTATAAAATATTAATCAATAGTATACTAAATCGAAGTACTTGTAATAACAAGTCGAAACCACAAAAAAGGTAAAAATATTTTCAAAATATGTATATTTTATGTTATGTATTTAGTTTTAATTTCTTCTAGCTAATTGAAATTTCTAAAAACAAATAATAAAAATTTCAAAAATTGGTGGTTTAATTAACTTTTAGCCGGTAAACTATTTTCAAATACAGTTTGTTTTTTACGAACTTTATTTTACGTTTAAAATGTGCCTATACAACTATATGTTTAACATGTGCCTACACCAATATATGTTGAAATTTCTATTTTGTTATCCAAATTTTTCATCTGCGTAATGATTTTGTTATGGCCACTAAAAAGGCTATACATTTATTTTTGTTTTATAAAATATATACGTAATAACAAACTCTAACCCTAATATAAAAAAAAAAACAGAACCAAGAAATATCAGATATAATGTGTGAAAATGTGTTCTTAGATCTTTAAAAATGTAAAATATTTAAACAAAATTCACAAATACCATTAAAAATAGTCTTTTCTCCAATTTTCCTAATTGATTCTTGTTTTCTACGAATATTAACAAAATCCAACAACCAATTATCTCCAGCTGTTACCATTTACTTTTGTCAACAACTTCAATTAAAAATTGGATCGTCCAATGTTTATACTATAATGTGTAGCAATGGACAGAAGCATCTATAAAATGGTACAAAATATTAAATATAACTACTGGACAAAACAAAACCAAGTGTACTATCCAAGGACATTCAAATTCAATTATTTGAATCCGTAGCAAAAATATGCCAAACCGGATGATCATGCTAACATTGACTCTTCAAACCGGTCTATCTTAGGGTTACTGTTGAGCATCTTCGTCATCATCATGAGTATTGAGTACTGAGCATTTCATACACTGCGGTAGCAATCTCAGCCACTGAGGTAAGCGTACAAGAATCTTCCATCTGCATTGTTGACAAAGAAAACATATTAAAACTAAAAGTATATTTTGTTACGTCTTTCTATATTATCAAGTACTAAAAACATGACAATATATTCTTGGTCTTTTACTAAAAAGTTGTGGTAATGATTTTTTATAACATAGTGAAAAATGGGATTGTTTAAAGTGCTTTTTTACATCTAATCGATGTCGGAGTCTATAAATAGTAAGTAAATTTTTGGCTACGTGTGTTTGTCTCTGCGTAAAATGGTTTATTCTTTCAATGTTGTGTTCTCACATGCATGCACAGAACACTAGAGTAAAATGTTTTTGGTTATGTGTTGTTCCCCCACGATAAATATAGTTCATTGTTTAGCCTTTAATGCTATATATATGCTTTATTCATATAGCAGACGAGTAATATGACTGAACATAGTACTAGATAAATTAATTTGTAGATCAAAATTATTTGCAAAATATTAAATGTTATGTTAAACGAATATAATACAAAAATGTAATGATCAAATGTTGGAAAATGAAAAGCGTTTAAGCAGCTAATAATCTCTAGCATGAAGCCATAAACCACCAAGAATATGTTTCGTTGATGAGTAAATTTGTGGTTAAAAATTGTATATATATATACATATATATATATATATATATAATGTTTAACGTGTCAATAATATATTTGGGTGAGAGCATAATTACAAGAAAATAATCGATTTCCTATGGACATATGCATTAAAATATAGTAGAAAACAGCCATTTCTTTCCGTTTTTCCTACAAAAATCGTAAATAAATTATAAAATAACATTTTGGGTGGAGATATCATTTTATATAGATCGTATTTCATTTTTAATTACCAGAAAATTAACTAAGAAAACTTGTATTGACTATATATTATAATTGCATGTGAATGCTATATCTAAGTGTATATCTGTTTTTGCCAGAAGGATCCATAATTGACATGTTCATTATCCTCATAATCAAACCTATATGTGAAACTAAGGATTATTGTAATGATCTATTAGTGATAATCACATTATTAAAACTAATAAAACCATAGGCACGACAAGAGAAAAACAATTAGGTTAAGGCTAGGCCTAGCATTTGATTTACAATTAGCATACACAGAGATCTACAATTTTTGGAAATAAATCTTTTTTTTTGTTTGTTGCAGCTATTTTTAGAATATTCTTTACTACTGTAACTTTTTCAAATCAAGGGTAAATATATAGTGATTAAGGAGTAAGAACATAAACATACCTTAGTGGAGAAACAGTAGAGGATAAAGTCAGAAACAGTGGAGACGTTAAGGTGAAGAATGACAAACCCTAAGCTTTGTAAGGTAGAGACCAAGTTAAGAAGAAGCTTTGGTCTCTTTCTTGATCTGATCTTGAGACATGCATGGCTCTCGACTAGGCTTACTTCAATATCAGCCAATGAATTCTCGAGAACTACGTTTTCGCTGACCGAAGAAGAGGTTTCCATTGTGAACTGTGGAAGCTTGAAGGCGTCCGAGAAAGGTGCTGTGGCGGATGAGATATTGCCATTTTCGTTTTGTTTGCTATTGGCGTTACTGTGGTGAAGACGGTGTTCGAGTTGTTTTATGAAGTTTATGGTACCTCCTACTATTGATGCTTGGTCACACTGAAACCATGAAAGTAGAAAGTAAAAATACTAAACTCATAACTACGAAGAATCAATTATGAATTTGTCCTTTTTTCTAACCAAAATTTTGATTTTGGCCTTTGTGGTAAAATCATACGGATTTGCATTTTTAAAGTTATAAAAATGTGATTAAACTTGCGTTTTACTCGTTATCTTTAGGGTTAATCGGTTTATTAAGTATTTATTATCAAATATGTATTTTAATAAAAATAAATAAATCGACATTTTTAATCTTACAGCAAATCCATACAATTTTAGGGAAATTGACGCATTCGTAAAATATATCCTAGAAAATGGTTATTTTGTTAAGAATCGCTTTATGCATGTAAAAGTTTCACTATTAGGGTAACTTGAGTACTTGACTACAACTTTTTGTCGTTGTTGTTAACGTTGTAGTGCATATACAAATACAACTTTTGTAATGCATATACTTTTTAAATTTTTTAATTACTAAAATATTTTTGATCTAGGCATATACACCTTGTTATATCAGAGATCATAATATTTAATATAACTCTTTTCTAAATCCCCCTATAGGATCTTGCCTAAAATATTTACCGATTAAGATATTGACACACAATAATGCATATAGTACTTATGAAACCTAGCCGTCTTGGTATATAAAACAAGTGACAAATCATTATCGTTAACATAACTTTTTCACAAGGTAACAATTTACTATAATCAAATGATTCAAACCTACTATTAAAGATTGTAAATTATATTTTTGAACTTTTTGCTTTAGAACTAATAACTAAAAACATTGAACGTGGAAAATATGATGTTCTTTTTTATTAGTCTCAATAAAAAACACATAGATGCAATAGATAAATATGAATGTAGTAGAGTTAGAAGCATACCCTTTGGACGTATGAGTCAGGCATGAGAGAGCGGAGAACAGAGAGGTACTCATTCATCATTTTTCTTCTGTTACGCTCAACTGCAATGTGAGTCATACGTTGATTATTGATTTCTTCTTTGTTTTTCTTCACTCTCGTTCTACGGCGTGTTGCCTTCTTGGTCCCTGAAGTGTTTATCTCGCGGTTCGGGCTACCAGAAGAGTTCTCCTTTGGGGTAATATTTGCTTCACTAATAGCAATTTCATCAGGAAGAGGTTGATGAAGGAATGTAGTAGTATTCTCATAGTAGTGATCTTCTTGGAGAAAAGTAGAGTTATAGTTTTCGATTCGGTTATCGAAAAAATTAAGAGAGGCTTGAAGATCATAGAAGTGTGGTTCATCTTCTATGTAAATGTTGGAGTAAGCTTCTTTGCCATTATAGCTATAGATGTTGTCATGTTGCAAAAACACACTCTCGAGAGCCATTAAGTAAAAGATTTGATAAGAGAATAGGATAATAAACAAGAAAAAGTGTTAAAGTATGGTGAATAAAGATTTGGGAATTTTAGAATGAAAGTGAAAGAAATGATAAGTGTGAGATGATTGATACTCTTACAAGGTATTAATTTATAAAGGGTGTGAAAGAGTTGTACAGGTTTTGTTGCACGTGAAAAGCATAGTTTGGGAGTTTGCTCCAAGGGAGATGTATTCTCTCTATTCAGGTTGTTGGACTATTAAAAGAGTAAATAGCTATAAGCTAATAATGGGCAACAGGTGGGGAAGTTTGTATATATGATTCTTAGCTATGCTCTTGATTTTTTTTCAGATGATTTGGTGGACTTGACTGTGAACTATCTTGGCTGGTTCAGTACACAAAAATGTATAACATATATAATATGATCGTCCATTTATGTGGTTTTCTTATATTGTGAGCAAATGAGACACTGGTTTGTGATTCTGTGTGTTTTTCTTTTCATATTGTGTAACTCTTTATCCAAACTCTATTCAGCACACAAAAAAAAAACAATATTCAGCACACAAAGCGGTTTAAATAAATTATATAAAAGGTTAAATGACCAAGTGCTAATAACTCAATTGGTAAAATTTCTAACAAAAGTTTAGAAGTCGCCAATTCGAGTAATGTTTGAGGCGAGATCATATAACTTGCGTTTGTCTCGGAGCTGAAAGGATGTATGAATTTTGGCTTATAACATCGCATATATAAAAAGTTAAACAATAACCAACATATGAAATTAACTTGTTTTAATAAGTTCAACATTTAATTTCAGTCAATAGACATAAAATTTAACTCAAGAGACTAATATTATTAATAAGTTAACACAAACTGAAAAACAAAATCTAAAAAGATAATAAAATAGATTGATAGTTCAATCAATGTTCTCAAATAAACATTAACTATATCATATTCAGTTTTAAATAGGCTTCAGATGTATATGTCTATTAAAAACAAAATAGCCCCAATAATTTGAAAATTTTCCTAAAGAGATCTCTTTTTTTTTTTTTAATTGACTGAAGTTATTGCAAGTGAACAGCCTTCAACTCTTCAGTTTGAGAAAGAGAACAAGCTTGAGATTTTTTTTTTTTTTTTGTGTGCACGTCTTGAGATTGTGAAGTTAAATTGGAAGATTATTGACGAATCATATATATAGTCTTATTAGTTACGTTGGAAATTAGGAGCATGTATTTATAAAGCATGTAAATACATGATCTGATTTATGAACGTGGCTACAATGAAGCAGGGGAAATTCCAAAAGAATTTCCCAAAAACATTATTTTTAAAAAAGTATATCCGACAGATTTTTGGAGAAAACCTAATTTCTCGAATATCACTTGGAAATTTTTGATTTTGAAAATATCTTTAGAAATCTCCAGAAATTTTTAATTTTAAAAATATCTTTGGAAATCTCTCAGAAATTTTTGAAAGATATATATATATATGACCATAAAAATTGACAAAATTCTGTAAGTTTTCGAAGAGATACGATCGTTGTTTTCTTCCAAGAGATTTCTAAGAATTTCTAAGAACCCTAAGAAATGACTCTAAACAATAAAAATGACTCTAGAGTCTGCCATGGTTACACACTCGCCTTACTCACTTGGATACAGTTTTTGACATCTCAAGTCGCTCGACACCACAACACAGACGGTGAATTTTTTCTGAATTTTGCCATTTTCCATCCAATTTTCATTTGTTTTGTTTTAATTTTCTTCGCCAATCTTAGGATTGGCAGCACCGTGGACAGTGTTGTTTAAGTCTGGGGGAGGTAGTTACTAACATTGTTTATTCTTTTGGAGTTTTATCGAGTCCGTCTAAATTTTTTTTTGTTTTATTGAGTCAAAACTTTTTGTAGGGAACAATGAACTCAGTCTAACGGTTTCTCTGATTTGGATTAACACTCTTATGATTACATTTCTATGCTTGATCTAACGTTGTCTCTACTTTTATAAGGACTTAATTGGACTTAGTTTCTTACCTTGGGAGTTGCAATACATTGGACTAGACTTCTTCTTCGAGCCGCACAAGACACTGCACTTCTTCAAAGTATGATTCCTTCCTTCTCTCTTCCCTTCACCCTTTAAAAGAAACTGTGGAAAAGGGTATAGGTACAAGTGATATGAGGGATGTCTCGTAAACTCATGCATACTTCGGATCTCATGAATACCCGAATAAAAAAAGAAAAGAGATATAAAAGAAAAAACAGAAAAGAAAAAAAAAAGGAATCGTTGAAAAAATAAAATGAAACCCTAGAAAAGTAGAGAGATGTCGATTACCTTAAGAAGTGAGAAAAGTGAGAGGAAGTGAAATCATACGAAGAATGTTTTGGTTTGAGAAGAGTCCATATGCCATCGATCGATACTCCCTCGGTAAGAATTCACCTTTACTTGTGTTAACTTATGTAAAGAGATGACAATGGAGAGACTGGAGATTCCTAAGGATTGTGGGATTAGAGTAAGGAATGTTGATACTTCTCATAGGCAAAGTACATAACGTAAGTTCTTGAGTCAAGACGATGAAGAGTGCAAAGAAGAGTTTCCTGCAGTTGAGTGAGTTCCCGCGTTTTCAAACCTCTTTCGCAGGTTAAGTTTCTGTTTTGCTTGAGGGAAAGCAAAGGCTAAGTCTGGGGGAGTTGATATATCATGGTTTTTACGGCTTTTAACCACGATATAAGTGCTTTTTATCGAGTCTTTCTATACTTTTTAGGGTCTTTTTGGAGTCTTTTAAGGTGTATGAGCTATTTCACAATGATTGGACCAAAATGGAGTGATTTGGAGCTTATTGGAGCAAAGGAGCTGAGTAATCTGACTTGGAGAAGATCTGTGAAGGAGTGTCGATCGACACCACCTATCAGTGTCGATCGACACCATGTGCCTGACGAGAGATTTCGAGTTTTCCCAAGTTTTGAAGATTTACAAAAGTTGCCCACCAAGTTGCAACATTGGTCTCTGACGTGTTTTAGACATATTTAAGTACTTTTTAGGTTTTAGAAACACTTACGGTTTATTCTATTGCAGAACCTTGAGAGCTTTTGGATAGAGAGATCAGAACTCCCTGTAGAGAGAAGATTTCAATACTCCCTTGTTTCTCTATTCAGTTTCTTAATCTATATTATTCAGTTCATGATGTTTGCTTTTTACATGATGTCTGAGTAGTCTTCTTTGTTAGGGTTAAGGATTCTCATTAGGGTTCTCATGACTTGTTAGGTAGATTTGTTAGATTATGATTCACCATCTGAATTGTTCTTCACCATAGGTTGTTCTTAATGCTAGTTTTAGATTGATCACCTAAAGTCTAGATCTTAGGATAATTGATTTGACATGAGAGTGTGATTAATAACCTGAAAGAACCTAGGGTGATGAGCAAAATACTTATTCGCAAAGAGATTGGGTTTAGGGATTTGGTGAGCATATCAAACTTGAATGTTAATGCTGGTTTAAAACTTTAGAATTTAGCAAAGAAATTTAGAGTTCTAGTTTTAAATTTAGATAATCATCGCAGCGAAAGCTGGTAGATTTTACATTAGTGATTTGAGTTCAAGAACGGCGCTAAATCTGAATCCTAATTTATTTAATTTGATTGATTTCCTGAGAATTCCCGAGCCTAGCGTTTTCTTATACTGTTTTAAAACCCAATCTTTATCTTAATTTGCTGTTCTTAATATTAAAACCTTGCTTGCTTAGCTTAATTTTCATACCGAATATTTATTTTGTAATCTTTTAGTCTCTGTGGAATCGATCCCTAAGTACTACACTGATCTCTTAATTGAGAGAGTAGCTCAGGACAAATTTGAGTCGATCACAATTCAAAAATCACCGGATCTACACAAACATCTCCTATGATTCTCGATAAACTATCAATAAACACAATGATCAATTGTCTTTTATATAGAGCCAGTCTTCTTTTAAAGTTCTTACGCTTTAAACCGTTAAAACCCTAATATTTCGAGAATATCCATTTTACTTATATTAGTCAGGATTTTATTTGTTTCCACGATTATCTTTTGAATATGTCCATTCCCGCATTCTTTTATTCGCAAATCTTCAGATCAGGTTGAAAGCTAACTTGCGCATCCTCATATCATCGATACCCACAGCTTCCCGACAATCTTGTCCGATGAGCTTGCATTATATCGATAATTCCCGACAAACATATCCAAATAACCAATCAAAGAATTCATCTTTCCTCACCTGAATAAGCAGATTTCCTCCAGCTTACATAAAACTTTATTGATGAACTTCGATTACATCAACCATTTCCTCGATAGACTTAGGTATAAACTCGAAGATAGTATTCTTGGTACCATCTAGGAAGGGTAGGAGATGGGGGTTACAAAATCCCTCAAAAATCTCTCGAAAATTTTGCTAATATATATCTTCCAAATCCCATTCACATGTTTATAAAACAAAATCAGAAACACTACCAACAATAACTAGATTTAGTATTGTAATGAAAGAAAACTAAAATCATTTACCGAAAAGGGCGATGGGCGATGCTAAGGTTTCAATTGTGGGTGGCTTCTGGAAGACGTCCATCAGAGGACCTTCTGGATAAGCCTGAGGTTTGGGTTCTGAAGGGTTTGGGGAGAAATAATGGGGGGGGGGGGCGGGTTGCCTATACCGGAGGAAGTAGTGGCTGATGATTTTGTTTCTAAGAGATTGGTGTATGAATTTCCAAAGATAAGGACGGGGAACCAGTAATAACGATAGGTAAGGAAATCTTGGAGGCAATGAATGGACTGTGGAAATGTTTTATGGTTGTGCGAGTCCTTAGAAAATTTTGAAAACCACTCGTGGTTTAATGTTTGATCCAGCACGAGGAGATACTGAACTGCCTGCTTCTCGGAAGAGACTTAGAGTGGAGAAGGGTACTGTTAAAAGATATGGAGGGTCTTTAACAGTGGACGCCGCCGAGATTAGGGTGAAAGAGTTGGGTATGGATTCGAGTTTGGTGGAGAAGGTGTTGAATGAACAAGATGGATTATATGCGGTTGAAGAAGAGCACCAGTTAGAGACGAGCACCGGTCTGGGTAGGTAGCGGGGTTCCCCAGTAATTATGAGCCAATTTTGTGAAGTCATGATGAATTGCATTTTGTGGAATTGCTGGAGGAGTAAACCCAATTTCAGAAGATCGATTAGATATATTTTGAAGCAATTAAAGACGGATATGTTAGCTGTTTTTGAAACTCATGCAGGAGGGGATTGAAAGGTCGTATTTGTTAAGGATTGGGATTTGAGAATTATGTACGAGTTAATGTGGTGGGCTAGAGTGGCGGTTTGTGGCTATTGTGCAGACATGCATTGGGGAGATGACTATTGTGGAGTCGACGAACCAATTTATACACACAAAAGTGGTTAATGAAGGTGAAGTTATTAACTGGATCGTCGTTTATGCTGCTCCCACGGCTAGTAAAAGAAGTGGGCTGTGGAATAGGATAAGCGATGCAATAAGGGGTGTGGATGGACCAGTCGTGGTCGAAGATGAATTTAGTACTATTCTTAGACTACATGAGAGGTCTGGAGGGAATGGTCGCGTGTCTTCAGATTCACTACCATTTGGTGAGTGGATTCATGAGCTATCGTTGATTGAGATGGGGTTTAAAAGCAATAATAATATGTGGAGGAGAAGTCGAGAAGCGAGGTTCTTTGTGGCTAAGAGACTTGATTGTGTTATGTGTTTTCCTCATGCCTAATTGAAATGGCAAAAGGCGACAGTTACACATCTCTCTTTTCTTGCATGCACCTCTATTAGTGCAGCTTTTGCCGGAGATGAGCAGTAATCCAAGAAGACAACCTTCTTGGTTTGAAGCAATGTTTTTAATGCATCCGGGATTCAAAGAGTTGCTATTAACCTCATGGAATGGGAGTGTTAGTGCCCAGGTGGCACTTAAGAAGCTGCAAATGACATTAAGAAAATGGAACAAGGAGGTTTTTGGAGATGTTCAAAGGCGTAAAGAGAAGTTACTCAACGAGATTAAAGAGATTCAAGAGATAATTGATATGAATCAAACAGACCTCCTCCTTAAACGGGAAGCTGAGTTATTAAGAGAGTTTGATTTAGGTCTTGACCAGGAGGAAGTTTTATGGTTTCAAAAGTCTAGAGAGAAATGGATTGTTCATGGGGATAGAAATACAAGTTTTTTCATACCTCTAAAATCATTCGCTAGAGATTATAAATCCTACAAAGATTTGCGAGAAGAGTAAATGGCATCGACGACCAGCTTATGATCCTAATTATAGATATCATTTACGATTAGATGTTAATACAAATATAACACCGTTCTATATATAATACGAATTTACCGAGCCTCATATACATCATTAAGTGTAAAGATACATATATAATATCAAGTCGCTAGAGTAGGTTTAGCGAACTTGCCTTATCCATCGGAAAAAGTGCAATGTGGTAAAAGAGAACTCTCGACCAACTCATGAATGTTTCTATATTTTCTCATTTCTATAACTAACGGTTAAGCACGACTTTGAATCTAGTTGTATGTCTTGAGTTTTAGAAAAACTCACTTCATTTCACACAATAAATTGGATCTCAAAAATTTCAAAATTTAGTCATATACATTATCTTTTTAAGTTATACTCATTTCTATTCAATCACTTTTAACTACTAATTTTTTTTTGATCTTCTACGATGCACTCGTTACTCTCGACATCTAGTTTATTTCCACCTTCTATTAACTTTCATATAATATATATTTAAGTCTGAGTTGATTTTTAAGACATATCATAACAATTTCTTCCTTAATAATAGTCCAATTTGGGTTAATAGCATTTGATTCAAATGATGGAATATCAAAAGTGTTTTTCTTTTTGATTATGTTAGAAAGTTATAGTTCTACTTGAGAATAAGTAAACTTTCTTTTTAAGATATGCTACACAAATTGTTTTTTAGAATATGGATATTACTGTTTTTTATAATTTTTATATTTTTGATAGAATTTCACGGCATAAAGTGTGACCTTTCAAATATTTTCTTCTTAGAGTATTTTAAATTGAGTTTAGTAATCTTTTATTTTTAGTTAAAATTTAATAATAAAAAAAAATATGTAATATGTTTATTAGAAATTATGTTTGACTTTAAATTTATTTTTCCTCATTAAAATTCTAAAAGTATTACAAACAATTTGTATTATTCTACCATGCATTTAAAATTTACTTAAATTTTAAAACACATTACCACATTTAAAATTCCAAAGTATGATTATTTTAAAGTTTGTTGTTGTTTAGAGTTTGAATCACACTATTATTACTAATAAAATTCTCATAGTATTGGTTTCACTATTATAAATTTAATTTATTTTACATATTTTTAGTTTTAGTTATATATTTATTACCATGAAAAGAAATTCTATGTTAACATTACGTAATTTTTTTTTCTTTATCTTTAATTTTTATTAATTATATACAACATATTATGCACTAAATGAATGTTACGAAGTGAGTAAGTTGCAAAGAGGATAGATAATTTTTGAGAAATACCCCTTTTTTTTAATCCATTTTCCAATATACCTCTTTTCAAATATGAAAAATTAGAAACTTTTATGTGGTTGATAAGGTACATCGAGATCATTATTACTATTGGGAGGCAAAATCAAATATTTAAAAGGTTTTAAAAGGTTCTATACGGCATTTATAAGGTATTTATAAGGTTTTGAAACGGTTTTCAAAGTTTTTATAAGGTTTTTAAATGATTTTTAAAAGCTAATTATACGGTATTATATATATATATATATGTAAAAATTTACACATATATAAAGATAATTTGTGTCTATAAATATAAGCTCACACATATATTTTTTATAAATTTCAAATTTTATAGTGACTTTTTGATAAAATTAGAAAGAGGAGTATTTTAAAAAAAATTGTATTGGAAAATGTGTATTTTTGAAATTCACCCAAGAGGATATGCTAAACCTTTTCGGACTAAACTGTAACGCCAATATTATCAAAATAAATGTAAAATCACCGAAACTTAGTGAGGGATAAGAAGCAATGGAATGGAGTTAAGAATTTGTTTATATATGTTAGAATTAACTTACGTATTTAAGTACTTTAGGCGTGAAGATTTGATAAACAAGAATCTCATGAGCAATTATTAAATTAGAAATGGACTAAGTTTCTGAATTCTGATAAGCTGAAGTGGAAACAACAGAAATCCATAGAAGAAAGAACGTAAGTGAGAGAAAGCCTAAGCCTATTAACTTATTTGGGCTTATATTATATTATGCTAAACAATGTGTTTATTTTAATGTCATAGAAAATAAGTTCAATTAGGATATAAAATTGTTGGGGCTTAAATTACAAACTAACCGGCTAAAAGAAAATAAAATGATAAACAAAATGTATGGAGAGATAACTCCCCCGTTATATATATATACTAGAGAGGAGAACCACGTGTTGCGCGGAGCTATGATTTTTTTCTTAATTTTAGATAGTTTGCTTAGTTTTTTTTAATTTTATTTTATTCGATGGGATCCAATATTTCTATTTTTTCGTTTACTTTGCATAAAACTTATTTAGTCCGACGATGCCACCGTAATCAACGTATTAACTTGGACAGGATATTCAAGCATCAAGAGAGCTCAATCGAACAAAGGAGGATACCGACACCATTTTTGATTTTTTATCCTTTGTCGTAGCTATTATTCTTTATTTTGTCTTCAACATAATTCGATATGGCGGTCCTCCAAGATAGATTTTAAAATTTTAGTTTGAGTTTATCTTTTAATATGAAAATTATGATTTTTACCTCAATTTGAGATTTTAATATATTTCAGCTTTTTAGTTTCTCGTTTTTGGTAAATCACATTTTTTAGAAGGTTGGACTTCATATGTGAGAAGAGAAAAAGATAATCAAAGGGAGATTATAAGTGGCATTTATGGAGCACAATTTGGTGGTAATGAAAAGTAATATGTAACATATGCATTGTGTCAAAAATATTAGCCTTTTAGTATGGAGAGTTTATATATTTACTTTATATACATATATTATTTTAGAACTCATAAGATTAATATAACCAATTGATTATTTTACGTTTATAGAAGATGGAAGAGAATATGATGCTCTATAATCTTTTAGTTCTTTTGCACCACAAAAAATGCAAAAAGTTTTTTTTTATATTCAAGTTTTTCTGATTTTCACAAAAAATGCAACCACTACAATATATTTTTAATTTTTTAAGTTGAGTTTGGTAATCGTTTACTTTTATTTAACTGAAATTTTCATAATAAATAAAATAATCTTTGTAGTATATCATTATCTGGAACTAATATTTCACTTTAATTTTTTCTTGTTTACAAGTTTTATATATATAGTCATATTTGTTTTTTACTCTACCATGCATATAATATTTTTCTTCCATTATAATTCCCATTACTACATTAAATCATTGGAAATATAATCATTACTAATAACATTTTAACGATATTTATTTTAGGATTTTTAAAATTTTATTTCTTTAGTTTAATTCTTTTTTTCTTAGTTTAATTCTTTTCTATTAAATTAAATTTTCTATTAATTATGAGTACATAAATATGCATTAAATAAACTTAATTTTTAAAAAATTAATGAAATGGATGCTGATGTGGATAGCATAGATGGAGAGAGAACTCTCCTACTATATATATAGATTCTTGATTTTTAAACCAAGAGCAAAGTGAAACCATCACTGTTCATGTACTACACATCGATGAAACAGAGAGCATGGACATGTACTCGATCAATGGAAAGGGTATAGCTTCTCATTTTATAGACTACTTGAGTGTCCAACTCTCTAACTGGTTATTTTCATATTAAGACATCGACTTAAGAGTAGTAGTGTTGACTTACTTAGTTTTAATTAACACATATTTTTGCATAATGAGATTTTTACTTGTGTTTCTTAGGAAAAATATATAAATCTTGCATTTTTAATGTGATTATGCAAATCTTTAATTTATTGCTAAATGTTTTGCATAATTGCATTAGAATTTTTTTTATCAGGTCACAAGGCCAGTTCTGATAAAAAAATTGTCTAATGCAATAAAATAGTCTAATGACTATTTTATTGCTAAATATTTTGCTAAATTTTTTATCAGAACTGGTCACAAGGCCAGGCATTCAAAGTATTGTCTTGCAGCCTGCTTATAATATGTTTTAGTTTCAGCCATATTTTTACAAAATTAAACATCTCTCTCTCACACACATCCAGGTCATCATCCGTGGAGGCCGTGATATCAGCATGGATCTCCACTCCTTTTACCGAGTGCGGCTTCGGCTTTGATTTCAGGAGAGTCGCAACTTATCAAAAAATCTTCAGGAAGTAAAATCCTATGATGATAAATGCGAGGATAGCCATTACCGACTCAAGCTTATGCCCTTTTAGAAAATGAGGCAACATATAAAACTTAAAATTCAAAATAAATGTTTCATTGTTTTGTCATGTATGTTTTAAGATATAGAAAGTGCATAGAAAACTCATAAAAAGTGCATAGAAAACCCATAGAAAGTGCATAGGAAACCCATAATTAATTTTTTTACTTTGATTAATGTGGAAAAAATCTTTGTAATTATTTCTCACAAGATCTCCCGTTGCCTCTATGAGCCTTGGAGTGTAAGCATCCTTTTACTTTTCATCTGTTGATTTCTTTGAAATTCAATCATATACTAATTATCTCTTTAAATTAACATGTATGTGATTGAGCAAAAATACAAATTGTAATTGTAATATAAAAAAAAAAAGAAAGAAAGAATATGTATAGGTAACTCTAACCCACCTACTACAGTCATATGCAAATTTCATTATCTTATTTAAAGATACTACAAATTAAAATCAGAAAAGATTAAGGCCATGAATGGATGTTGTTTTCTAATTCAGTTTTTGGATTTGGTTTTTAGTTTTTGAATTATAGATTTTAGTTTTAGATTTTTCTATTAATTTTCGTATTAAAAATCCTAAAAAATGGTTTTTGGTTTTTGAGAAACATAACATACAAAAACTAAAAACTAGATTCCCTAAATTTTAGGAAACTTAAAAATCTAAAACCATGAATGGAAGATTACAACAAAATAATTTTACTAAATTTTAGGGAATCCAAAAATTAAAAATCTTGATTGTTTGAAAATGAGTTTTGAATAACAAAAACCAAAATCTCTTCCAAAATCCACTAAACATTCAAGGCCTAATAATAAATTTATTGGGTTCAAATTC